GCTGTGTTAACCCAACAGTGTGTTTACTGAAGGGTGGCGCTGTTGTGGTCGTGCTGCCCCGGTGCCTGAGGGCAGGACAGGTCTGCTGCAGTCTGCAGGTTCTCTTTCTATGGCAGGGCTTGTGTTTTTCCATCTCAGCTGAATTGTATTTTGGTCTTGATATTTTTATGGAGGACCCAACCTGTAAACCAGCGACACCTAGTGGTGGCCTCACCTTCCTTGTACTAACCTCAAAGTTCATATCTTGTCTGTTTGGATGTTCACACTGCAGGCTAAAGTGGCACAGAGTGTTTGGTTTTTTTTGCCCATATGTGACCCATATCAGTCTGACCCAGCCCACTTTTATACATGGTCCTTAATTGGGTACTGGAAGATGTTTGTTCAAAGTGACCTCCGTCTGATTGGTCAGGTGATATTTCATCAGACTTTTACCTCATCAAACTGAGACAGACTTCAGTGTCAGTGCAGGGGCAAAAATCAATTATTTTCTGTCATGCCCTTGGGGACAAATATGTTTTCATGCCCCCTCAGGGGGGCTCGCCCCACTGTTTGAGAAGTACTGATTTAAGGGAACGATACCTGGAGAGCGATCTGCAACAGCTCCAACAGAGGCTCTCCAAACAACGGCAAATCGATCAGTGATTTTACTCCATGAAGAAAGAGACAAATGGATGGTGGAAAACCAAAATTAAAAATGAGATGTGAATGGCATGAAAAGACATGATAATTATGAGGGGGAAAAAAGTAAACCAGGGAGAGAGATATGTCCCCGGGGGACGGGGGATTATCATGTAGACTTGTTTATCAGAACTCAGGAGACGAGCAGAGCCGTGTGGTGGCAGCTGGTTGGACCAGATACAGACAAGACAGTGGGAGCTGTCTTCATGTTGTCTTCATATTCTCACTGTCTCCTCTGCTTCCACATTACACTTGACTGATGTTGCTCAGATGTTTAAAACAACTGGCTTCATCCCCTTGTGGCCATTGTGGGTAATCACACCTTGTTCTCAGTGCATTGATGTTATGAATTCATTTAAATAGTTTATTGTTTCCTGGAGAAATGCTGTGTAAATGTTTCATTGTTACCTCTTTGAACTCCTTCCTCACTGTATGTGCAGTTCGTTTCATGTCGTTCTCTACATGAGCTCTGTGTCTGCACTGATGATGATGTCATTCACGAGCCCCATCTTTGGGCTTATTGTCGCGCTTCCATGACTACTGGAGCACTTGGCTTCACACTTGACTTTTTTTGGAGCAGATCTCCTGAGAACGTGCAGACGAGGAAATTATTCAACATTCTTCAGGTGTTTCTGGTTCTATTTACGGATCAACATGCGAGCTTTGACTGATCCTCTGTTCCAGGCATTTGATTTAAAGCACAAACGCATTCGTCCCAACTCTGGCTGCAGACCAGTTTCCCCGCGGGACCAATAATGATACCTCTGACTTTTTAATGACCTTTTTAAATCTTCAGGTTCTTAACCTGCTCCAAAAGAAAATCCCAAAATAGCTTTGGGAGACGCTTTTATTTTATTTTCTCATAAAGACCAATCGCACTTTTAAAGTTCAGACAGAGTGTGCCGACCTCACAGCTCTTATCAATCACTCAGTGGAAACAGACCTATGAGCCAACACATCTGTGTTTTATCTTCCATAATAAGATAAAATATTCAATCGTTTTGTTCCCTCTTGGCCTGACTGTATTGGCTGATTGATATCATATCTCGATGCTCTTTTACTCATAGTTTCCTGAAGGCTATGACGTGAGTTTTATTGACATTACAAGATCTAGAAGTTGGAATTTGGAAAGACATGCGTTAGATATAAAGATTGTTTTTCCTACAAGCTAATAATCTCAACATCAAACAATATTACAGTTCAGTTTTCTTAAGCTACGATCAGACAGACACGAACCCTGGAGCTGTACATGTGAGTGCATGTCAACAGAAGCAGAACATCTCCAGGTAATGTGGTGAAGGATTCATACAACATGCCAGCAGGGAGCGCTGTTCATTATTTACATTATAGTGTGGAAAGTAGAGCTTTGACTTTAATAATTGTCAACAGGGGGCGCTATTCATTATTTACAGTGAGTGTGGAATAAGTAGAGCTTTGACTTTAATAATTGTTGTTGTAGGTACATTTTTAGTGTGAGGCTTAGTTGCTAATCTGCTAATTTACGTTGTTGGTTAACATATTTGCTGATGATACTGTGATTTCCAAATCATAGTTTTGTTTTGTTTTTTTTAAACACCATTCTGGCATCAGTTTATTAAACTCAAAAGAGAGAAATTAAACAGGACATTGTGTCCTAATCATTTTCAGAAATTGCACAAGGTGCTGCAATGACTGACAAACAGTTTGTAATTGTACAATTTGAAAATTCTCAAATAATTTATTGGTGCAGAACACATGAATTATATCTCAGTGGTGGGAAAGCCAACTGCAAACAGATGCTCAGTGAACGAACAGCATCTTTTAGATGTTGAAACTTAACTAAATTTGAACTTTTCAATCACTGGATACACAGCGTACGTTAAGGGTCATGTGTATAACTGCAGTATCCAGGTGAATATGTGAAGTTTTTTGCGCAGATTAACGTCAGACACGGTGTGGTGATAAAGTAGTGGTGAGTACAGGCTGTCCTCAGGTGGACGTCTGTCTTCACATTCCTGATTATGTCCACATTCTCCTGAGAGGCTGCACAGACTGGACCACGGGCTCCCAGGAATATTTAATGTGTTTACTGCCTCTTATTTTTTCCTCGTAGTTTTCTGCATTAAAATCAGATGAAACTGATTTATTGGTGTTTTTTGATGATTTGTTATTTCTGACTAACTATTGCTTCTCATGTTTCCATCTGCTTTCCATAAATCTCTGAAACAAACCGTTTCATTTCTAACTGATTTATAGCTTTGTTATGTTTTGCCTGGCTTTCATTTGTCACAACTGATATTAGTGTGACTTTTTTTTCTGAAATACAAAGAAGTGAATGTTTTCAACCACCACAGGTTTAGTGGCCAATCTCTCAGGTATTTACAGAGAAAAAAAGTCTTAAAAATAAAGACATTGGAATGAGAAGCTGAAAAGTTCTGATAAAAAAAAAACTGATTTTAGAAAAAGGAGAGGAGGTCGAATGGT